GCATGCACCAGCACCTGCAAGTCCTTGGCATGTGACGTGGTCAGTGCGTGCCCAGCGGGCTCGACTGTTCGGGTCGAGGATGAGACGGGTAGCTTGACGATTCCAGCCGAGGATGTGCAGAACATCGTTAAGGAGCTGTCCGCAGAACACGCGTCGTGCCCATGCTCAACCGTTCGCTTTGGAGGCCTCCGTGGTTCAATGCGTTCTCGCGGTCGTTGATAGATTGCCGATGTCCAGTAGCTTGATGTGACCAGCTTTCGATTGACCCCCCCCCACCCCCCAAGCTAGGAGCAGCTAGTACAGCATGCTGCCCTCCCAACCCGGCCTGCCGGCACACTTTTGTCTGCCATGGCGAGTACAGCAACTCATGGCAATTCCTTTGGCAAGCGAAGGCTTGCAACTCCTTGACAGCACTTTATGTAAAGCTTCATGTCCAGCTTCGACACTTGTAAAGTGTAGTAGATGGCGGAACAGACCAAGCGCAGCTCCCCCCGGCGCAACAGGCATTGCAGCACGGGCTTGTTGGGTGAGGGCGCATTTCTGTCGATGGCACCCAGGAATTCCGATACGAACTCGCCCTAAAGCCTAAACCCCTAAATCTAAACCCTAAACCCTAAACCCTAGCCATACACAGCAAGCACCCCAAAACTGAGCTAGACCGTCCTCGTCGTCACAGGGCTGCAGTCATGAACTAGTCTTACAGGGTCCAAGTGTTCCTTACCCATAGGCCCCATCGTAGTTCCTTTTTGGGGTTCATATTTAGAATCCTACAAGGTAATCCCAAAAAGGAACTACCATGGGGCCTATGGGTAATTGGCAATAGTATGCCGCACGCCCATAGACTATACCCTAAACCCCTAAACCCTGGGCCCTAAACCTTAAACCCTAAACCCTAAACCCTAAACCCCCAAACCCTGTAAAAGTCGAGGCGGAGGACTGCCTTTCTAAGATGATACTCTTCTAATCTACCCCGAGACCTTATCCTTACGGGGAGCGATTGAACCTCGAGACTTCCAGAGGAGGAATCCTGAACACCAGTCCTCATGGGGTTTGGGGCTGATGTAAGATAGTAGGGTTTCGGGTGTAGGGTTTAGGGTTTAGGGTTTAGGGTGCAGGGTGTAGGGTTTAGGGTTTAGGGTAATACAGGCAGTACGGTTCCTCATTTTCCTCTCACCTGTCAGCGACGCGTGGCATGCGCTGCCAGGGCGGTGACGAGCAGGTCATCGATGACTTTTTCTGGGAAGGTGCCTGCAAAAGGGAGGTGTTTTGGGCTTCGGGTGCTCCCTTTTTGGCAAAAGGCGTCGGGGATACAGACCTTCGGGGCCACGTGCTGAGATTCCGGGGTGCAAATTCGAGTTTAGTTTTCTGTCGAGGTGAGTTCCTCAGTCACAAGCCCTAGTCTCTCAAGCAGAGCGCACCCTAAACCCTAGACCCCAAATCCTACCCTAAACCCCAAACCCCATACCCTAAAGCCTAAAGCCAATGCCTAAACTTAGACAATGCCAAAAGCACTAGCCGAAGGCATCCTTCTGCGCAGCGAGAGCATCGATGCCTTTGCCTCGACGGAGCGTCTGCTCTCCGAGGTCGCACAGTTGTCTGTTTTCTTTTTTGGATTGGTAGGGTTGTTCGGGCTTTTTAGGGCTTATAGAACTCGTAGGATTGTAGGGCTTTTTGTCGCTTTTTTTGTGATGTTCGGACTCTTTAGGGTTTATAGACTTACAGAGTTTGAGGGTTGGGGGGTTGGGGTGTAATTATCGTTTTGCATGGTGTGCTTCTTCGTGGTATTTGTGTTCTTGCTTTGCTGCTTGAGATAGGGCAGGGGGGGTTAAGCTTGGCATAGGTGATTCACAGGGTCTTTGTAGGGCGGTTTTAGGGTTTAGGCCTTAGAGATGTTTAGAGGTGGAGTAGGGATGGTCGCTGCGGTGGTATTGAAGGAATGGGTATACTGCTGGCACGTGATAGCCCGGTTCTGTGCACATCTGGGTGGCCGATGCAACTGATGCTGAAAGCGGTTTACGGTTTAGGGTTTGTTTTTTTTGGTTTAATGGTTTAGGGTTAAGAAGCTTGGCAGAATCCCGCACCGAACTAGACTAGCTGCCTTGAACCAGGGACCTACCAGAACCACAACTCGGATCCTGAGTACAGAAGCCCTTCATTCTAGATCCCGTCTCTGCTTGGACAGGGGAAGCTGTGGATGGTTCCTGAGTGGGTTGGGATGGTCATGAGCTGTGTGCCCAAAGTCCAAAACTTTACGAACGGGGGTAATACACACACATATATATATATATATATATGTGTGTATACATATATGTATATATACACCCTATACTGTACTGTGAGTACTATATATATATATATATATTTGTAGAAAAACACAACTGGTCATTGATGTAAGCTTTATGGCTGCGCCTGGCGCTCGAAGGCACCGCCGACCACCACCGAGCGTGACATGCTCCAGGCCAGGGAAGCAGGTTGAGAGTAGGACTACAGGGGCTTTATGTAGTATGTCGCCACCAAGATGATGAGTGGAACCGCCCCTCAAAACAAACTGATAGACCGACATGAAGGGAGATCTCAGAGTTCAGGATGTTTAAACAGAATGCGGTGTCTTCATGGAGCTATGAAATCATACAACTTCCTGGATTTGCAGCCCCCTCGTCACACAAGTGCAGCTCTGATTGCAAGTGCTCTTGTTGGAGCTGTTGTTAGTAGCTGTCCTGTCTCCTAGTGAGTGGTGGTCAGTTCTGCTCCATGAAGTCAAGTCAATGCCGGGCAAGAGCCAACGGGAGGTCATGCCACCCAGGTTGTAACTGTATACACATACTTGTACTGTATCCTCAACCGGTGCAGATGGTGGTCCCAAGCATTCGATACCATTACAAGCTTCTGCAAGCTCCAGGCCTACACCGAAACCCGAAACCCTGTATACGTCCAAGAGAAGCGATGGGTACTAGAAACGAGCGGTCCTCCCAACAAAAACACACTTTGAACACACGAACAGACAGCACCACACCGCCAGGTCATCACGGACTGTGAGCCACTTCCTGTGCTGACGCACTGCTACGAGCCCGGGTCTTACCCTTGTGCCCCGGAAGTCTCACCGTTCAGGGCTTGAGGGTCTGAGGGTGTACGCAGGGCTTAAGCAAGGGGTTTAGGGTTTGAAGGTTAGGATGAAGGTGCGCTTTGGGGCTTTCTGGACTCGAATGTCAAGGTTCCAATTATATTCCAAAGGTTGCTACGTGTGGTTTAGGTTTAGGTTTTTGGCATTTCTACCCGATTCTACCCCTCCTCCCAACAGATGAACGCCTGCGACGCTGATTTTGTCTAGGAGCAGTATTACCATGTGTCACACCAGACTGTTGATGATATAAATCCTGCATTACCTTAAGGGACCCTAAATTATGGGAATTATGGTTCATTCCTTATTATGGGTAATGCAGGATTTATGTCCTCAGCCATAGTCTCCTAAGTTTCCGGGGCCTGGGCCCCAGATGGCCTGGGGCCTTAATAGTTGCCTATACTACTTTGGGGGTTTCCTGATGGTAAATTTAAATCTAGTATAATCTACCCCAAAAACCTTATTCTAGTCATTAAGGCCCCTATATTTCGACTGTCTTTCAGGGTCGAAGTACTCCGTATTTTCTGACTTTGGCATTCCTCTTAGGTACCAGAAGACGCGAGATAGAGCACTTGGGCCCTTGTGTCAGCCAGTGGTGTTCGAATAAAATACAGAGTTTCCTACCTGTGATCTGGTACCTGATCCAGATACCCCGTTTCTAAACAGAGCCAGTGTTTCTTGACCAGGCTCCTTAAAGCTCCGGGCCCTCCAAACTTTAAACCTGGAGCCCCAAACCAACAGCGAATGTTGTCTCCCAAACGCTCAGGCCCTAAACCCAAAACCCTATGTACACCCCTAAACACTAAACTCTCATTCCTCAACCCTAAGGCCCTAAGGCTTAGACTCCGGACCCTGAGCCCTAAACCTTAAGCCGGACCCCAGGCCTGAAATCCTGAGCCCTCAACCCGATTCCGAACTTCGAATCCCCTAAGACTAAACCCCAAAACGTAGTATAGGGGCCTTAAAGATTGCCTATGCTTCTCTGGGGGTTCCTTATTGTAGTGTTAGTATGACACACTCCAAAACCCTATTCTAATTATTCAGGCCCCTACATTAAGTGTATTCTCCCCCTATGCTTCCAGGGACCTTATAGTTAGGGCCCTAGGCCCCCTTAAGGACCCAAGAATAAGATCCCTGGAAGGAACTTGTAGTTAGGGCCCTAGACCCCCTTGAGGACCCAATAATAAGGTCCCTGCAAGCCTAGGGTCCAAGCAGCTCAAGCAGGTGCGTTCCGGACGCCGGGGTCGCGCTGCAGGCGATGACTGGCTTTCAGGAGCTGGGAGACGCAGCTGAGAGGATTTAGTGTTAAGGATTTCGGGTTTGGGGTCTTCTGTGAGAAGAATCAAAAACCCTGTCATGGCCGTTGTTCCCAAAAACGCCGGTAGTGCGGAGGACCTTGCAAGAATCGGCGCCTACTTCGACAACGTCGAGTTAGTAAGCAGCCTTGTCCGCTCCCAAGGGGGCCTCTGGTTTAGGATGGCAAGGAGATGAACTCAGCGGTCCTGTCTATAAATTGGGTTGTCGGGGATGGAGTCCTTACAGTACGGAAGAAGCCTGAAGTTTGGAAACTGGCAATCTTTGCTACGCCCGGTTCGCCTGCTGCTTGGGGCCAGGCCAGGCCAGGGTTGATGTCGCAGGGCCAGGGCCAGGGTTGAGGGAGCCTAGAGTCCGCGGTCCACACCTTGACCTGCAGGGGGGGCAGCAGCTATTTAGCAAACCTGGGGCGGGGGGTGGGAGTTGTCGTCTTCGTCGTCGTAAGAACAGCAATAACTCCTTGAAGTTGTCATTTATAGTTCAGTGTTGTTTTTCCTTCACATCTCTGAGGGGGACACTTAGACTACGACTGGTTCGAAGTTTCAGAATTTAAACTAAGCCAGGTCCATCTGGGCTCATGATTATGGCCAGTTGAGAAATTCCAACTGGGGATCCTCCTAAAGTCCTGACAACTCAACGCAAGTTTACAAGAACTCCTACTATTAGGATCCCTAGTTTTTCAAGCCCTCTGTACAATCTTACAGTACAAAGACCTGACAAGAACTCGAACCTGTGTTCCTCAGCAAACCATTGCGTAAACACAAGGGGAGCTCTTCAACACACCACAAGAAATCGTATTTGTGGACCCCGAAATCGAGCAGTCCATAGTGAAACCAATCACAACTCTTCAACATCCTATCTAAGTCGGGGTCCCTAATTAAGACACACTTGCGGAAGCGTGCAGCAACTCAGTGCAAGCTTGACACCTTAAAGCTGGGATCCCGAATTTCACAATCGATTGAAAGCTCTTTACAACCCCCATGAAAATCCCTACTTCGGGTGAGAAACCGTTGCTGTTCTAACTCTTCGAAACTTCTTACTTAAACCCTCAAACCCCAAATTCTGGCTTCCATGTTTTGAAGAGCCCGTTAGCACAAGCTGTGGAAAATCTTATAAAACGTAAAACAGATCTCTGATTCCTATAAGTTTCAAGCCCTAAACCCGAAAGCCTGATTCCGCCTGATTCCTAAAAGTTTCAAACCCTAAGCCCTAAACCCTGATTCCTGTAAGTTTCAAACCCTAAACCCTAAACCCTGATTCCTACAAGTTTCAGACCCTAAACCCTATATAAACTCTGATTCCTAGTACCTAGCAGACGGAAAAAGGCCCTCAAACAAAAAAGAAAGCTTGATCACTGTAAGTTTCAAACCCTAAACCCTAAACCCTGATTCCTATAAGTTTCAGACCCTAAACCCTAAACCCTGATTCCTAAAAGTTCCAGACCCTAAACCCTAAGCCCTGTTTCCTGTAAGTTTCAGACCCTAAACCCTAAACCCTAAACCCTGATTCCTATAAGTTTCAAAGCCTACACCCTAAACCCTAAACCCTGATTCCTATAAGTTTCAAACCCTAAACCCTAAACACTGATTCCTATAAGTTCCAGACCCTAAACCCTGAACCCTGATTCCTACAAGTTTCAATCCCTAAACCCTAAACCCTGATTCCTATAGTACCTAGCAGACGGAAAAAGGCCCTCAAGCAAAAAAAGCCTGATTTCTATACGTTTCAAAGCCCGTCGCCTGAGGTCCGGAGCATCCTCTCGAGCTGCGCAGGGGCTGCCGCCTTTTCAGGAAAGCCCGGTAAGTTCGGGGTTTGGGGTTTTAGGGTTTTAGGGTTAAGGGTTTTAGGGTTTAGGGTTTAGGGTTTTAGGGTTTAGGGTTTAGGGTTTAGGGTTTGGGTCAGGGTTTAGGGTTTCGGGTTTAGTGTGTGGTTTTGGGGCGTTGTGGGATTGAGGGCCGGTAGCTGCCAAGAACTTATTAGGGCTTCCACCGGGCGCTTATAGTAGGTCCTAGGTGGCTTGCGATAAGGGTTCAATACGGTTCTTGGGCTTAGTGCTTCGGAAAACGAGGGGTTTATGCAGGGTTTGAGGTATAGGGTTTAGGATCCAATGCCCTGGGGCTAAAGGTTTGGAGTTTTTTGGCTTAGGGCTGGTGGATTTCCTGAAGCCCAAAATAGGATGTAGGGCATTGGGCTTAACAGTCCCCATCTCAAATTTCGACATGCAATGCTCGAGACTCAACCTACCATCAACTTGTTCTTCGCTGTCGCTGTAAAACGAAAGTCCAACTCTACACACAAGAAGGGCGTCTTATGTTTGGGTAGATCCGGGTGCTCCTCGGGCATGTTATTGGGTGCGAAAATCCCACTTCATCAGTGTGCTCACTTACCTGGAGGTTCATGGGCCGGGTAGTTCTGATTGGGGCGACATGTCCCCTAACATGGGCTGTGACTTTCGTTAGGCTGTTACCCTACTTTTAATCCCCGCTTATGGCTACCCATGAACCTCCAAGTAACCAGGAGAGGGCGGGGCTTGGCAGCTACCCATGTCGCCTACATTCGGGGGGGGTTTCTAAATTTGCGATTGAAGTCTGGATCACGGCTAAGATGCAAGCCAGTATCGAAACAGGTACCTGCAGTCCAGGGGAAGGAAGCTCCTGCTTGTCGCGCTGATCTCTCTAGGGATTAGGATTCACGGTTCATGTCTCGAAAGTTTCCGCTGTCAAGTTCAGAGAACAAAACTATATCTATATAGATATTTATTTATGTATATTTATACTTATATTTATATTTATAGCACTGTAGCATGTCGGGTTTTGAGATCTGTCCCTTCGTACCCACAGGCGGGGCCGTGACCGTCCGATGTCAGATCGCCCTGGGTGCCTCTGAAAAGTGCGTCGGGCAGCCCGGACATTCAGGCTTTCGACTTGTGCGGCTTCGGCTGCCTACAGACCTGAACTTCAGGGTGCGTTTCGACCAAGGACCAAGTGTGTTGCCACTGAGGTGGGCCACTTTGCCTCGCTCTTTCGCGAGGCCACGCGATGCCAGATGATGTTGCTACTGCAATAGTGGCTATTCTGCTGTGTAAGCACACGCCCCATCCTCATCTTCTTTCTCCTCACCGCCATTTCCAAAGCAACATTCGACGGACGAAGGCTAAAACTACAAAGTCGGACCTTGCCCGATGTTGGTTTTGCTCGTCCCGGAGTCTGCGGCCCTTCTACCAGCGTGCAGAAGACGTCGTGTTCAAACGTCTGACACAGGTGAATGCGGCTTCGGGGTGTAATGACGAGTTATCTTGCAATCGGTGTAGGAGGCTCAGAACAACTTGTTTGCGGTGATTATATTTAGGATTCCTGTTTTTGTTTTCTTTGCACAGGCAGAGTGGCGGGGTGCACTCGACGTCATGCTGCAGCTGCCCTCACCTTAGATTCAGCAGCAAGGGTCGTGCTGGCTTCGAGATACTGAATGGTTGTAAGTTTGATGGGAGTTGCAGATTTCAGGGCTCCAAGCATAGACCTTAAATAATGTTTTCTTACAGACGCTGTTAGGTTTGAGGCTTTAGGGTTCAGGGTTCAGGGCCTTAAGCAGGTTGTGGAAAATTTGTCCATGCGCCGACGCCTCGCTTCAACCATTGTGCTGCCCTGTTTGCTACACAGTTGTAGTTTTGCAAATCTTGCTGGCCTAGGCCCTCAACGAAAACCCCTCAACCCCAAACCCTAAACCCTAAACCCTAAACCCTAAACCCTAAACCCTAAACCCTAAACCAACCAACCAACCAACCTAAATCCGAAAACGGTGAACCCCGAGCCCCCGCTGAATCTGAGCTCGCTTGTCACAGAGGTGGGCCATGGATCTACTGCCGCTGCCCAAGACTGCAAAAGATCGGCGAACGGGGCCACTTCAACCATTCCTTCCTGCTTTGGGCAGGGTTTGGGTTTTGCGGGTTTCGGGCGCCAGAACCGGTTTCTCTAGAGTTTTGGAGCAGGTCGGACCCGAAAGCCCTGAGAACTGAAAACCTGGAAGCTCTCAGAAACGTTTACGGATTGGGCCTTGCAGGGCTGCGGGTTTTCGGTGGGTTTAGGGTTTAGGGTTTAGGGTGTGTCCTTGTTTCCCGACTTCCAAAACTTTCGCCGCACAACTCCGGACCACAAATTCTCGAGTCACTATGGGGGTTAGTGGTTTTGAGGTTGGGGGTGTGCTGCAATTGTGGGGGTGGAAGTGGTTGAGGTTTCTAAGCATGTCAGTTTCTGGGGTTTTCGTTTTCATTCAACCTCTAGCCGAAACCACCCTCGCTTCTTAAACCCCGAATCTCGCGCCTTGTGGCATGGGTAGTTTTCTAAATTATAGGGTCCCTTCTAGGGTCCTTTTGATAAGCTAAGGGTGCCGTACCATCTGGGGACCTAAAGCGGTACCCTCATGTAGAGAACTACCCATATACCCTAGTGAATGCAGATTTCATCCGGGACCTCCCTGGAAAGTGAGGGACCTAGAAAGCCCTATCCGAATTGATGCCAGAGCCTCAAACCCCTCTTCGAGACATAGCCGGGCTCATACACCCTAAATCAAAACCCTTCTGCCACGAATTTCCCTTTTAGAATGCTCAAGGCTGAGGGTTTAGGACTTAACGGGTGTTCTCTGAGAATCAGCGTCGTTTATTTAGCTGAAGTCTTAAAGGGGTTAGCAACCATAGTCTTTCAATTTTGTTTTGGGGGTTTCTCGCTTAAGCAACCAGAACCCTAAACCCTGAGCCTTAAGCCCTACCTTAAACCCAAACCCTAAACCCTAAACCCTAAAACCCTAAACCCTAAACCCTAAACCCTACCCTAAACCCTAAGCCGAGGCCCAGCCACCTCTCTGAGTTTGACGACTTCTCGGGCACGGATGGGAAGCCCCTGGAGAGCCTCTGCAATATCAGGCCGCTATACAGGGTGTTCCTCAGGAACCCGTTCTTTGGGGCTTTAGGGTTTAGGGTTTAGGGTTTCGGGTTTAGGGTTTAGGGTGTATGGTTTAGGGTTTAGGGTTTAGGGTTTAGGGTAGGTTACCTTCTACCTTTTTTGGGGGCTTACATGTTAAGCTATACTACGACTAGGTTTAGAACTGAGAAGCTTAACCTTAGTAGGGCTAGGGGTACGCAAAGCGTTCCCTTCCATATGGGTAGTTGTCAAAATTATGGTCCCTTTTGGGGTACCCTAAATAATCGGTGCCGTATTATAATAAGGACCCCAAAAGGGACCATAATTTTGACAACCACCCATTTTCGTTATAATTCCAACCCCAAGTTGCTAAGGAGCCATGGAGGGCCCTGCCAGCCTTAGGGTTTAGGGTGTAGGGTTTAGGGTTTCAAATTCCTAGAACACTGCGAACCTAGGCCCGCTGATGCATAATATTCCCGATTTCATGTCGACCACTCTCCGATGCATGTTTCATGAAACTCCGTCCAAACACCGTAATATAGAAGCCACCAGTATTATTCCTTAGGATTCCTTATTATAGTTTTAGTATGAAGGAGCCCAAAACCCTATTCTGCCTATTCTAATTATTAAGGCCACTCGTGAGACATTCAAAAGATCACGTGCTACGCCGCATGTATCAAAAACGTGCATGGGGGGGCGCAATAAGCATACGAGACCGCAGGAGTTTAGGGTTTAGGGTTTTAGGGTTTAGGGTGAGTTAATCTAGAGGATGATAACAGGTATGGTGCCTGAATTGACCTGAATTGGCAGAGGTCACGAAGATGTCGGGTGATGATACTTTTAGGGGATGGTGCCGGGAAAAGCTTGGAATAGTTGGTTTATTACGAACAACCTAGTTAGTTGTAGAGTAGGTAACCTTTAACCTTTTTCGGGTAGTATAT